TGCTCCACGAGCCTTAAGTATATGGGAAATTATGAGTGAAGAGTCTCTCCTTACTTCGTCTAAAGTGTTTAGCATATGTCCCATATGGGGGCGATCATGTGACACATTCGCTCCTGTGTCATAAACTTTAGTGCAATATGAATTTCAAACCAATTCAACTCACTTCTCTAAAAATCACAAACAAATTCAAATCATTTTCATCCTTATAGATTACTTTTCAAATCATTTTTAAAAAGAATACGTTTTTTTTCTCGTTCTATCGCAAACAGACATTGAGCCTAATTGCTGGAATGTGAACTTAACGTCACTCATAAAAAACACGTATCGATTTGTATGTCGAACTACGATCACTCTGATTTCCTCATTCTCCGAATGAGGATATGTAGGTATAAAACGACGAAGTCTTGGCGAGCAACCTTCCCTTATCCACCCGTAGTCTTCCGAACTACGTTGACTCTAACTTTTTCATTGCACGAGGGAATACGTAGGCCTAGGACAACGAAGTCTTATCGAGTCTCCTTTTTGTTTTTTCCCTCTTCGTTTCCATTAACAATAGGCTTTAGATAACACACCCTTTGATCAGAACAACAAGTGTGGATCCCATTAAGTACAACGGACGTGAAGGGGTGTTAATACCTTCCTCTCGCATAATCGACTTCCGAACTCCGGATTTAGTTGCAAGGCCATGACTTTTCCCTTTTCGAGGTTTTCTTTGATTGTTTCCTTTCCACCGTCGAGATAAATAAAGTTCGGCGGCGACTCTTCTGTTTTTTCCGCCGATTGTTTTTTCCCAGTCGCGACAATAGGTCATAGGTCGACACATGCAGTCAGCACATCTAATAGAACGTTACAAGATATAAAAATGAAGCACACAAGTTGGCCTATAGATGCTATGTACCAACCTATACAAGTTATGAGATGACCTGTAGATGTTATGTGTTGACCTGTATAGTTCATGAGCCGACCTGTACGAGTCATGTGTCGACACATAACTGCTAGAATGTTATCTTGCACTGTTCGACGATTTCGGCCATAATTTTTTATTTATATACCCAAATGACGTGCCGTTTGAAGTGTTAGAAAGCTAATGCTCAGGGCTATAATGTGATATTGATAGGTGATTTGTTTGAGTATTATCATTCCTAATGTATCAGCTAAGTTTTTATTCATATGTGCGGTTAATGAATGATTAACATATCCCGACGATTTTGGTCATAACTTTCATTTTGTAAGTCCAATTTTGATATCGTTTAAAGCATTAGAAAGCTAACACTCAGATTTATAGTATGATAGTGATTTATGAAATGTTTAAATATTATTCATATACATAATATGTCGATAAATGTACTGGTTTATATGTTGGTGAATGAGTCGTTGCATTGTTGTAATATCATGGTGTGATAATGATGTTGTTATGTCAATGAGGTTATCATGATGATGTTAAGGTGTTGATGTAATATTGTTGTTTGTTGATGTGGTAACATGAATTAATTGTTGCATGATGAATGATGTGAGCGTAAATGGTGAGATGTGTTTGGGGATCCTCTTGGTGAGCCTTGTTATGTTAATGTATGCTATTTGAGAGTCATGAATCATGGCGTACATGCTTTGATCCAATTTTGGTGGGCCTCGATCCTATGGTGATGGATCGAGTGTGAGTAGCTAATTTCTATTATGGGGGATTAGTGAAATGTTACTTATGGTGATGGAAGCAATTTGGCGTGCTCTGGTTCCAATAGGGGATCTCATCCTATGGTGGAGATCATGGAACAAAATGAACCTGAGTGTTCATATTTGGTACCAAGTACATGTCGAGTCGGTGTTGAGTACGTTGCATAAGTGTTGCATTTGTATTGATTTTTATTGCATATGATGTTGATGAGAATCGAGACGTTTTTGCGTATGATGTTAATGAATAAATGAGATGTGGTTGCGTATGATGTTGATGATAATTGAGATATTGCCGTGTATGATGTTGATAATGATTGGATGTGAGAATGTGATACATTCCTATGCATGATTGTGTAGAAGTGGTACTCTATTCTTCATTTTATACCGTTTATTATTGAAATGAATTCTCACCCTTTTATTTGAATGTTGCCTTTACATGAACATTGTGCAGATATTCAGGAGTAGCTTTCCTCCAGTAGGTGGAAGGTAGCTCTTGGAGTGCTTCCTATAGTTATCGTTTCTTTTAGTAGAGTCTTGCTCTAGTCAATGTAACATTGGACTGTGAACGTTTGCTCTAATTTCTTTTGTTTTGTTAAAACTATCATTTGTGTTTGATGAGTTTTCAACATGGGGATGAATAGAATATTACGACTCTTGTTATTGCGTTATGAAGTTTTAAGTTATGAGAATTAACATTTGGAGTTGCATTCATTATTCGTTTTAATTGAGTTTTCAATGGTTCCATTTTGATGATACCCTAAGTGAAGGTGAGCATGCAATGACATGTGTTATATAATATTTTATAACCCATGTTACAGATCATGATGTGTTTGTGATATGTGTGACACCTTATGTGATCGTAATTTTATTATAATTATGCGTAAAAATTGTATGCGAGATTTAGGGTGTTACACATACCATACACAATTCAATCCCCTCCCTATATATACTACTAAGGCATAACAAAATTGTCAACTAAACGTCATATTCCATTATTTATTTACCATATATTCTCACTACACTCATTATTACATGATTTCTCTTTTTTCTTATGACCTCTACTCAAGTCTCTATTAGGACGTTTTTGTTATGCATCTAAAAAATAAGATGAAACTGATATAATGGAGAAAATAAATATGATATTAAAAACATAAAAAATCTCTTTTAGTGATCAATTTTCTGTCGTTAAATTAATCACAAATGTTTAATGTGACACATCACTTACCACGCCCGCGAACATTGTTGTCGTTCTGCCATTTGGATGGAAAACTAACTTGATATTATTTTAAATACTGAGGAATTAAAGTATTCTTTTTAAAAATTAAAGGACCCAAATCAACCATAAATAAAAGATAGAAGATGGAAAAAGTATTTTACTAGTAATATAATTGTTAAGATTCAAATGTGAGTGTCAGGGTGTTCATGGGTGCAAAACGATCCACAAATCCGCTGATCCAAACCGAACCAACCCATAACTATCCGAACTCATTTATTTACGGGTATACTCAACCCAACCCATAATAATCCATATAGTTTTGCTTCGGGTATCAGATTTAAGTTTAACAATCCGCGGACCCCGTTGATTCAATCCATTGATGTGACTTTAATAATTTCTTATTATTTTAAATAAAAATATAAAATTAATATCTCACTAATAACCGTAATTTTTTTCAAAAAACTTTATTCTCCACCGATAATATTGCTAGACCAAAGAGTTTACATAATTCTAAGATTGAATTTTATACTATTATTAAGTGTTATGTCATGTTGATGAATTTTATTAGACATTATATGATATGTTTCATCGAATTTGAGTGTTATAAATGAATATAAGTATATTGAGTTGTGTTATATTTTTTTTAAACCGACAAAAAGAATCATCAAAAATCATTTTTTATTTGAAATACAATTCACGAATTCAACCCAACTCGACCCATAAATAAACAAATTCAGGTCGGTTTTGACAATAAAGTTGCGGGCTAGATAAAAATCCAACCCATTAAAATTTGAAAGAGTTGAATAACGGGTTAGACAAAATTCGATCCAACCCAACCCGTGTACAACCCTATGTAAGTGGTTAAATCCCATATAAATTACAAATAAATAAAATTTTAGATTTATAAAATCCATCATACTAAATTATAATTCTATAATTTTTTTTTATAAATAGTTTTCGCCAATTTTTTTATTGAAAACAATAATATAATTCTATAACTTTTTTTTATAAATAGTTTTCGCCAATTTTTTTTATTGAAAACAATAATAAGTAATAATTAAATTATAAAATTGACAAATAATAAATACGACACATATGCCCTCTAATCTTCTTTTTAAGTAAGACACTAATAATAATAATTAATTATTTATTAAATCGCATACAATCGTTTTCATATCCCTACTTGCTACATTTCCTCAAGTTCCTTTTAAGTAGGACACTGTTTATAATACTTACTTAATTTATTAAATTGAAAAATAATAATTAAATAGTTGAATTTGCAAATTATAAATAATAAATAATAATAACTATAATGGTTAGTTATTCAATTCACGTGTCAAATGTTTTTCCAAATTTTATTGACATGGATTTGAATGAGTATTTTCTAAACATTTTTTTAAAAATCAGTTTCTAGCCACTTATTGAATTAATAATATTTATTAATATTAATAAATGATTGGAAGTTATACCGAATAGTGAAAAACGGTTTTTCTAAATGTCCTATTTTATAGCTATTTTATTTTTGTTTTACCAACCACCTGCACCACTAAGATTTTTATATTAATTAATATTGTTATAATATCTTAACCACTAATAATTTTTTATAATATTTTAAAATTTTAAATAAATACGTAATCTTAATGTATTTTAGATTTGGTTGACACTTTTAACCTAGCAATGATAATAAATTATAAATACAACGTTGAAAGAGAGTCATGAAAAATATAAATTTTAGTTAGGATTAGTCAAGTAAATAGCAAGTAAATAGCACGTTTAACGATTTTTAAATTAAGATTAATCTGCTTACGTGTAAATAGCAATTTCAGAAAGATCTAACCGTATAAATCTTAGATTTGATTAGATTGAAAACTTGAGTAGGTTAACATTAGGATCGTAATTATTTTTCTTATAAATAGGTCACTCGTCAAAGTAAAAAGCATAAATTCAGCCTCCATCAAAATCAAAACCTGTAATAAAAAATAAAGATAAAAAACATCGTGAAAAATAAACCCTTGCCGAAGATCGAAACGGAGCGTTTTGGGAACAAAACGTGGTAGTGAGGAGGAAGAAGATGGAGCAAAGCTTCACTTCTTCTTCTCTTGTTGATCGTTTCATGGCCTCCTCTCAGGCACAACATCGCTGTGTCTTCGGTACGTATATCTATACGCTTTCTCTTTCTATGGTTCTCAATTGTTATATTGAAATTTGTGAACGTTTTTGTTGATTGGGTTACGAAAATTGTTGCAGTTGGGAATATACCGTATGATGCAACGGAAGAACAGCTTATTGAAATCTGCCAGGAAGTTGGTCCCGTTGTTTCATTCAGGTGTGAAAGAATTGTTTTATTTATTTATTTATTTATTTATTTATTTATTTGTTTGTGTTAATAGTTGATTTCTTCATTAATTAGGGGAATGTGGTTTAGATAGTAGTGGTGACCTTTTTCTCAATGTGATTTAGTTTTTTTAGGTTAAAAAAGAGTTTTTTAAGTGTGGTTGAGGATAAGTACTATTTTGAGAAAAAAGTTTGATTTTTTTTTGGGGTTTTAAGTGTGTTGTTGATTTTGTTTTATCTACAGATTAGTCATTGATAGGGAAACTGGGAAACCTAAAGGTTATGGATTTTGTGAGTATAAGGATGAAGAGACGGCTTTAAGTGCTCGTAGGAATCTTCAAGGCTATGATATTAATGGGCGTCAATTACGTGTTGATTTTGCCGAAAACGATAAAGGGAACGATAGAAATAAAGATCAGGTATATTGTCTGAACTTCTTGAAGTAGCAACATAAGAGCATCTTTAGTGCAGGTTTCTTACTATTAAATTTAATAGTAACGATAGTTATAAGCAATTTGCATTGGATTAAGAATGACATGGCAGTAAGTGAACTAGCAATTAGTGGGAGTAAACTATATAACAAACACACACTATCAAATTTCAATGACTTTGATTATTATTTTATATTATTAAAATATCAATAAAGCTCCAACAACTATAAAATGTGGGGTCAAGTTTTGGTTTTTTACCAGCAACCATCATTAAAGTAAAAACAACTCAAATCTTACAAATCACTTTGGGCCCACAAAAAGTATCTTAGTTTACCCATTTAGTTTACTCCCACTAAAGATACTCTAAGTAGTTTCATAAATCTTTGCTGGGTTTTCTTTTAGGTTTTGTTTGGGAGTTTGTAGGAAAAGATAAGGGGAGGTTTTTTTTGGGGAAAGTGAGGGGAGGGGAAGGTGAATGGGAAGTAAGACTCCCTCCATAAATCCCCCAATTTCATATTGATCTATGTCTTTTGTTTGTTAGTAATTACGTTTTTGACCAATTAAATTGAGCTACCGACAATCACTCGAAGCCATTACGAAAATAAAGAGTGATGTGCATATGTTAAAATTCACAATTAATTTCAAAACTGGTGGTGAAGGGCATTTAGAACTCCGTAGAGATTTCATTGTTGTTGCTGCCCCCTTCCATCCCATTTTTTCCCATGCTTGTGTAGGTAAAATATAAGTTGTGTGCTTAATGTCAATTCCATCACTGATTAAAATGTTTCTTTTTCCTCTTACTAAAGGGTCGTGGAGGACCAGGAATGACGCCAATTGTTGGTCAGTTCTTTATAACCTATCTATTCTTATATCTAGTCACAAACTACCTTGTGCCTTTAATCATTGGTTTTTTGGTCCCATGTTTTCATTTTCTCCTTTTTTTTACTGTTAAAGACCCTCAGAAACAAGTAGGCATCCCAGCTGTCCACGGGGAATCTGTGCAAGCAGCTCAACATCAACCTATTGGTCTTCATTTTGCCGTAACAGCTGCAGCTGTCATGACTGCAGCTCTTGGTGGTGCTCAGACTGGCATCCAATCAAATCAAAGCGGTTTGCAAAACCAGTCAGCATTGACAAATGATCCTTTAACTTTGCATCTGTCCAAAATGTCCAGGAGCCAGCTGACTGAGATAATCTCCGAGGTTAAGGTAATACTCGGTCAAGCTGAGTTCGTTTTCGGAGATAACCTTTTATTTTCTTGACTTACATGTTCTTGTTATGATTGTAGGGAATGGCTACACACAACAAGGAGTTGTCCCGTCAGCTGTTGCTTTCAAGGCCACAGTTGCCCAAGGCTCTTTTTCAGGTATAAACTTTTCTCCCATAACATTCCTGTGTACATTAATGCAAGCAAATCATTAGTTGATAATGGACTTGTCTCTATTTACATATTCTTGTATGTTTTAGATATCCTTTAGTGTATCCCTCCATTCTGACAAAATGCTTGATGTCTAATTGTGTAATGAGGGGGATGAACAAATGTGAAAAGAACGGTAAGATCTAAGATAGTTGAGTAGTGGATAATGATTTAAGATCAAATAGACAGGGTTGAAACATTTTCTTAAGCCAAATAAGAATGAATCATCGGATAAACTTTATTCATCTTTTTCCATTTAAATGTGGCTATGAGCTGAGTTTGTTTTAGGTATTTGTTCACCTTTTGTGTGACCCAATGTTTTGGGAAGCATTGTGATAATTTTCCGCCGAAGAGGCTTTGCCTGTATAACTTGTTATGTTACGTGACATGTGTTGGGCAAACATTCAGCAGAATTTGTCAAAAGAAAATAAATAGAGATAACTAGAGTTTAGATTTTGTTGGCATGTTCTAAATATGAGAATTTCAGCAAAATTTGTTTAAAGAAAATTTCAGCAAAATTTGTCTTGATTTTTACAAATTGACGCATTTCTGATCTTTCTGTTCTATCTAGCAAAAATATTTGTTACTTTATTGAAATATATCATCTGGGTATTTTTTTGCCTCTATGTTGAAAAACCTCAATATATATGATATAGTTTCATTGGATCTATAACTAGAGTTTAATGTTTTGAACAATTTCTTTGATGATATGAAATATTCATAATTTGTTCTACTTGCAGGCTCAGATAATGCTAGGGATGGTCACCCCCTCAATGGTTTGTTCTGTCTCACTACTTTTTTCCAGATTCCATAGCTTACTTTGCTCATATTTTTCAGCAATCTCAATCAAGTTTACATTATTAACTTAATTTTTTGATGATAACTTTTGCAGCTACAAATGGCAAATCTTAGACAAGGTTCAGATCAAACCTCACAGTTAATAAATGAAGGCCACATTGGTCAGACTCCGCAAACATTGGCTCAAACTGTGGCTGGTCTACCTCCATATGGACAGAGCAAATTGCAGTCTGGCTTGACACCTTACTTTCAAGAAGGCCAAGCCAACCCTCTACCTCATAACCCTTTGGCTCCTAATCAATCAACCGCAAATCCAAGGCCTCCACTGCAGCCTAGACTTCCCCTTCAACATCACCCAAGCAACCATTTTGTACAGCCTGTAACAGGGCAGAATAATTTAATACTTCCTTCCGTACGTCCCCCAACTTTGGGAAGTTTGTCGATTAGGCCTCCAATTCAGCCAGTGAATTCAACTGCGATGAACCAGCAAATGCATGCCTCGTTCCTTCAGCATCCGGTACGTGTTGGAAGCTCAACTGTCTCGCATAATATTCAAATGGTTCGTCCAGATGCAAGCTTTCAGGTGCCATATTTTGCTTGATGTTGCTTAAATGCAAGTATTCTTGAAGAAACTGTGTAAAACTAGGAGTGTTCATTTTAGCTGGATAAGTGAGATATCAATAACCATATCCATGTCTGGCTAGAAAAAAACTGGATAATTTTATTAAAACTTTTAACCAATCCACCATATGTTCGTTTTGTTGGATGACCATAACCAAAAACATAAACATTTATATTATTTAATTATTCAAACCAATTGCATAACTTTTGTTAACAAAAAAGATATATATTTTTCCTTGACATATTTTTTTGTCTATTTCGCGTGTGGCAATCAGAGTTTGTTGACTCATATTTTTCATGTCAGTTAATTTCGTATGAAAACAATTAATGAGATCGCTCTTTGAATGACATACCTAGATTAGATGAATGATTTCATCGATTATGTTTTAATTCCACGTTCACAAATCTGTATGTGTTAAGCTTCCTCGAATCAATCTTGTTTCAACTTTTTTTTGTAAAATATTTTAAGAGTAAAGTACCTAACTTCCTTTTATTAAACAGGCTGACCCCTCCATGTCATCTGGTACTTCCCAGTTATTTAGTAAGGAAGGTGATAGATCTTCCAAAGCTCCTGAGGATTGGACCAAAAATAGTAGTAATTATTCAAACATGTCCGCGGGATTAGAGAATATAGGCATGACTCGTGATATTCCAGAATCCTTCACTCGTCCGTTAAAGCAAACTAGATTGAATGATGGAAGGAAATCCTCTCTCGCTTCTGGGACTTCAGACGTACCTGTCTCCAACGGATCATCCCATGTTCTTGGAAGTAGCTTATTACTTGCACCTGCAGTTCCTAAGGCCGAAGTGCGGCACCCTGACCAACAATCTTCACAGGTACAAATTTCTCTAACATGAATTTTTATCACCCGTCTAATGTTGTTATTCTGATCATTTCGTTTGTTTCAGCTTCCCACTGATGTGGAGTCTGTTTTGCTGCAACAAGTATTGAATCTAACACCGGAGCAATTGAGTTCCCTGCCACCAGAGCAGCAGCAACAGGTCATCCAACTCCAACAAGCTCTTAAGCGAGATCAGATGCAACCTGCATAACAAACAGAAACCAAGTCTGCCGCATGTATATTAGCATTTGATGTAGATTAGGTTCCGAAAATGATATTCTTTTGAATAGTATTTAACTTTTTTATATGATTTGTTTAGTTACATGCCCAAACATTTGTTGTTGAGATGAGGAGCTCTAAATGAGCGTGTACGAAATCATTAGAAGAGATATACTGTACAATAATAATAATTATGCTCATTAAAATTTTGTTTATATCGTGTGTTTGTGTGTTTTAGATTGAGCATCTTTGGTGTTTATTTGAATTGGTAACGTTATGCTTGAAATCTTGAATATATGTAATAGTCTCTATTGCTGGGAACACTTAAAAGTTATACTCAATATTCTAAAAACAATGGAATCCTAATATCAACATTCCACACTGTATTCTTTTTGTTGCACAGCATGTCATATGTAAGGTTGTTAAATTTTAAGAGTTTAAATCAATTTGTTTTGATTAGTTGGAATCAAATCGCAAATTTGACTAGATGGAATCGATTTGTAGACTCTACATATTTACTTTATATTAAAATAAATTTATACATGACTTTATGTTTGTACAATTAGGCTTTCTTGGTTATTACTTGTAGTCAATATAACATCAACATTGATTAAAACAACCATAAAGGAATTTGAGCATCATTGTCTACCGGACTATTTGAGGTTTATACGAACTTGTTCAATTTGCATACATGATTAATTAAGAGGATTTTTTAATGCACCGGATATGATATTTACCTATCATTCGAAAATACTAAAATGTTTTTTAAATTTCGGAGATGCATCTAATGAACACACAACAGAGACCATTCTGAATGTTGCCTTATTATTTGTTTTTTTTTTTAATTTAGAGATGGATCTCTGGTATATTTTCGTAAATGCATTTCCGTAGCATATACAAAGCATTGACAGAGATAGAAACAAAAACGTGTAATTTGACAAAATGAAATTAACATTCATAACATAAAATAAATATTACATATGTGATTTCAACATAAAATGCAACATTACACTTCAATATTCAGGTGAACACTTTAAGATCTTCACAATTTCTTTGACCAATTTTAAAATCGTCGCTTGCAACTCGAGCGTAATTTTTTTGTTTTGAAACAAAAATATATATTCCACATAATCCTTACATTTGCACCCGTCTTTAGCTCAAAGTTGCTGAGCTCAATCTTTCCTCTGTTGTCAATCAATAGTGAATGACACTCAAGCTTCACAATTTTTTTATTGTCTCCGTAAGGTAGGAGATGATGAATTTCGTATTTCAGATCTACGAGAGAGGTGTACTCGGTGAACTTAAACTTTTTTCCGGGTGTCACGCTGGAGAAGGAGACATTTACGACATACAAGGTAATGTTTATTTGTGACATTTGAGACATTTTGTGTTTGTGTGAAATAAAAAACTAGAGCCCTTAAATTTATAGAATCAACAAAAAAATGTGGACCATTCAAAATATGACATGCTGACTTTAGAGATATATCTCCTGTCCTGCACCATAGTATCTTGTTCTAGAGATACATCTCTGAAACCTCTCCTGAACCAGGCAAAAAACAGAAAATTTAAAAACAGAACTTATTTGAAAATTTAGTTTGACAAATGAACAAATCTTATTGGAAAGATAAAAAAAAGTATTAAAATATTAAGAAATTGAATATATCACACTTAGTAAATATTGACAAATTATATACACTTATTTGTCTGTCTAAATAAAAAACTTAAAACGAATCAAAACATCTGTCACCGATTAAATCTATGGGTGAAACCCCCTTTGACTTTTGAGCATTTGATTCTCTTTCAATATTGATCAATTTCTCGAACTCTTGCATCCTTTCCACAAAAAGGTCCGGCCAAGTCTCGCTTTTATTGTTGAATGAGCCGTCCACTCCGATGATGTAAGTGGTATAAGGCATCCTTTTAAGTAAACTCGAAGAAAATATCGTGATTTTGAAATCCATCCAATACACATAATACGATCATTTGAATTTTGAGGTGGGGCGATACACAATGGGAATTTTTTTTCTGAAAAAGCGTACCGTGTAAGATCAACACACACCCTATAATACGCACATGCTATAGGTGACCATTTCAGGGAAGCACATATATTTTACCTCCGGCGCTGATCCACTAAGGCAAGGAGCAAGAGACTCATAAATTTCATCGAAGCGTTCTTTCTTTCCGTATAGTTATGTGTATGATTCTTTATGAGTCATCAACTCTTGGATAAGTTGATGGCAGATAAGTGTATGATTATCCTCTCCTTTACCGAGTAAAGTCGATACAACTCGATATTCAGAATTATCGCCCCTCAACATTGACAATCCACTCGATGTATTTATGTATAAAAACTGACATCTCGCCAACAAATGAAATCTTTGGCGGAGGCGGAAAAATAGTTAGTTTGCTAATGTGAGCTCTTTTGACAACAATTTTTTTGAAATTTTGGAGTTGGTGAGTCCGGAAAAACTTTGTCAACATGTTCAAAATAGGAAGAAGACTGTGCCGTTAAACTTTCATTCAATGTAGGCATGTGTTTCTTCATAGGACTTTTTATTTTCACCGGTTGAGAGGGTATTTTCAGGTCGGTGGTTTCCATATAAAATTTTTTCCTCAATTGTTCTTTGATGTGGAGTTTCATGTTGTCACTTGATTTCAAAAACCTCTACTGTATCACTTCCCATTCAGTCAAGATAAAGATATTTGATTTACCGTCTTTTATGACATCATCATCATCGAACCGAAGACTATTCCAGTGAGAGCAAACCTTATCCATTCTTATTGGGATACCAAGTTTCACATTTTTTGCAATAACACAAGCACATGGGAGATTATATGTTTTCACAACTATGCATCCACATTTTCTGCTATCGAAGCCTAAATTATCAACTCGTTTAGCCTCATGAAAAATATAATTCAAACCCGCACGAGATATATTGCCGACCAACTGAGAATAAAGATTGTTGTCTTTAAATGTGTGTTCCAAAACTGTGATGCCCGACCAAATGATGTATGTATCTCATTATGCTGGTTCTGTGTAATTTGGTTCACGGAGTCCCAATATCTACACAAACCGCCCTTACAATTTCCCAACCAATTCTTCGACGTAGCATGGGCAGACTCAACTCAGTTAATTATTGTATTTTCAAGGTGTCTAAATTGATCAGTCCAAGCACAAACAATTTTCTCCTTCACCCGATCAAGAATTGTGCTTTCAACATATTTTAATAAATCATGATACTTTTCGAACACTTTCCTGAAATGCATAACAGAATCGAGATATGATTATTTAGTGGAAGAATTTACTATACAATTCCATGCATCCATTATTTTTTCCACAACCACACCTGACTTCACTATTTTTCCATCTTCGGACTCTATATATTTCGTCCTTACCGTGAATTTAACCCGACTTCTCACATTCTTTGTGTGTGATTCTTTATATAATAAGTTGTCTTTTAATCTCTTTATAAGTAGTATTTTTTTAAGATATGAATAATCATGTAGAGGGAAAACAAGGATGGAGAAGAAATCACTCAAGCTTAAATGTTTATTGAAACTCAAAAAAGTCGCAAGGGAAAACAGGTAGATCAGGAAACCCATAGTTTTTAATTTTGTTTGAAACTAATAATTTGATATATTAGGATAAACTTCAAAAATCTATTGAAAACTCAGTTGAAGCTGGAACGCAAACATTTCAATCACTATTTGGAAAAGAAAAGTCCGGTAGAGTGAGATGTTATGGAAGAATTGTCACACCATCATTTTTGAAAAAAACGAAAAAGTTTTATTAATGAAAATGCAATATGATGGTAAAATTTCAGACATGGCACAAAACACGGGAGCAATGGAGGCACTTTTAAAAAGCATGTATATACAATAAAATCCACATTTAAGTGAAGAGGAAGTAGATGATAAGATGAGTGAAGCTTTGCACAATGATAATATTCCAACACCACGCTCATCGACATCAAAATATGCTCTGCTCATCAAAAGGTACTATAATTGACATTAATCAAAATCAACATTTATTTTATTAAGTGTTGAATTGTTATTTTATAGTGTTTTAATTTTTTGAGATATGTGATGTCAATTTTATAATTTACTCATTAAGTTAGTATATATTCATGTTAGCTAGGTTGGACATTGTGAACATATGTTACCATACATATTTTCATTATGTGTTTAAAAAAATTATCATTGTATATTGGTTTAGTTGGTAAGATTCATGTATAAATTTCATAGATTCGAGTTTGAATTCTAAACATACAAATTTCGTTGGTGAGTGTTGCGGTGGAAATAGGATATCAAACTATTAATTAATTTGAATCATAATTCAAATCACAACCGTTCTTTGATTTATCCGAAGGAAAAGGTCAAAAGAGGAAAAACCTATTTTGCATCGTAAAGACAATGCGGGGAGAGATCTAGGTAAGGGGTTGGTTAAGCTTAGGGAAGGTATTAGCACCCTAAACTTCTGTAGTACTCTACAGGAACCTTTTGTTTATTTTAATTTTTTTTCTTCAATTATTTGTTTTAAGGTATATACAAAGGGTTAAAAGTTAAAGAAAGGAAAACCTAAGGGGTTAATTTTAAGTTTACTTGGCAAGATTCGCATCTTGTGCCTACGTATCCTGGATAGGGAGTGAAATCAGAGTAATCGTAGTTCCCCTCGAAAGTGAGGTTAGAAACTTCTTGACTATGGTCAAGGTTTCAATGGGGAATAAACGTTTCTTAAGGATACGCTTACGTGGAGTGCGGAGACTCCAATCTCTACGTTGAAATCGTTAGTTGAAATTAGGGTTGAAATTAGGGATTCTACGGCGGGAAATCCTAAAATAGAGTACGGCGACTCTTTGACCTAATGCTAGGGTAAAGGGTAAAAATGTCCACGGCGGGACGCCTGGGCTATTAGGGTTTGGAAAAGGAAAAAATTAAAGGTGAGGATTATTGACACGACGGTCAAACAGTTTTGGACTTAATCCGTCGGAA